GAGGCCGGCGAAAAAGACTTTCTTTCGCCTGCCTGTGTCTGCGGCATCCCGCCAGCAGAGGCCGGCGAAAAAGACTTTCTTTCGCCTGCCTGTGTCTGCGGCATCCCGCCAGCAGAGGCGGTCGAAAGACCTGCCTCTGCTGGTGGGCTGCCGCGGACACAGGTGGGCAAAAGAAAGCGGCAGCCCGCCAGCACAGGTGGGCAAAAGTCACTTTCTTTCGCCCACATCTGTGTCCACGGCAGCCTGCCAGCTCAGGCGGACGAAAGAAAGTGCTTTAGTCAGTGGGGTGTCGGGGGAGAGGAGAGAATACTTAGGCATTCTCTTCTCTCCCCCGACACCGCACTGACTAAAGCGCTTCCTTTTGCCTGCCTGAGCTCTGCTGCGAGCACAGGCAGGCGAAAGAAAATGCTTTAGTCAGTGGGGTGTCGGGGGAGAGAACTGCCTCACCAGCCATAAACCTCACCGCACGTCACTGGTAACAAGCAATATTATGTTAAGAGTGATTGAAAAGACAAACATTTCCTTAAAAAAGAGGAATAATTCCCATAAAATTTTTAAACTCGACAATATTTTAGTTAAACAGTATAAACAAATTAAGTAAAGCTAATTTGTATACACTGCTAATTATTTACTATGAATTTTAATTAAAAATTAAAATATCATGTAGATATCTCAACTGTATGAAAATAACTGATGATGTAACTAATCTCATTCCCTCCTCTGCTAGACAGCCTTTAGTCCAGCATAGCTGATGCTTTTTATAAATAAATGAGAAATCTTCTTACTTCATGGTGCCCTTACCTTTTCTTGCTCTGTAGCACGCAGGCTCAAATAGTTGAGGACCTGAGGCTCCAAAACACTCAGGGATTCCAACAAAGCTGGGATGAGCTTTGGTGCATGTGGTTTTAGCATGGCCCCAGCACTTTTACTGATCTTCACCAGGGTATTAATGCTATAAATAAAAATGAGGAAGACAAGCACATTTACATTCCTCTCCATTGCTGGTAATCCATCCAGCCGCATAATGAATATTGTTTAGGTGTCAGAAAACAATCTGCTCCCGAATTTAACTTCCATTCGCTAAAACAAAGTAGTTCAAAAGATAAATGAAATGCAGCAAATTCTCAGGAAGCTTATATTATCTACTTTCTGGGCCATAAATGTCTCTCTCATCAANTAAAAGTACACTTAATTTCAATCAAATGGAGTTGAGTGGTTTCTTTCCCGATTATTAAATAAAGCAGCACCTGACATAGGGTTAGGGTCAGGGTCCGGGCCGGGTGTGGGTTTGGGTTCATTTTAGGGTTAGGGTCAGGGTCCGGGTCCGGGTTCATGTTAGGGTTAGGGTCAGGGTCTAGGTCCGGGTCCGCATCCGGGTTCAGATTCAAGTTCATGTTAGGGTTAGGGTAAGGGTCCAGGTCCGTGTCAGAGTCCAGGTTTGGGTGCTGGTTCATGTTAGGGTCAGGGACGGGGTAAGGGTCCGGGTCCGGGTTCATGTTAGGGTCAGGGTCTGGGTCAGTGTCCGGGTTCATGTTAGGGTCAGGGTCCGGGTCTGGTCCGGGTTCGGGTTCATGTTAGTGTTAGGTTTAGGGTTAGGGTCAGGGTCCGTGTCCGCTTTCGGGTTTGGGTTCAGGTTTGGGTTCATGTTAGGGTTAGGGTCGGGGTCCGGGTATGGGTTCGCTTTCGGATTCATGTTAGGGTTAGGGTCAGGGCCATGGTCAGGGTCCAGGTCAAGGTCTGGTCCGAGTTCGAGTTCGGGTTCATGCTAGGGTTAGGGTCAGGGTCTGGGTCCGGGTTCATGTTAGGGTTATGGTCAGGGTCCGGGTCGGGTTCATGTTAGGGTTAGGGTCAGTGTCAGGGTCTGGTCCAGATCCGGGTTCAGGTTCATGTTAGGGTTAGGTTTGGGGTTACGTTTAGGGTCAGGGTCAGGATCCGGGTTCGGGTTCGGGTTCATGTAAGGTTTAGGGTCAGGGCTATGGTCAGGGTCCAGGTCTGGGTCTGGTCCGAGTTCAGGTTCGGGTTCATGTTAGGGTTAGGGTCATGGTCGGGGTCTGGGTCCAGGTCCGAGTCCGGGTCAAGGTCAGGGTCAGGGTTCATGTTAGGGTCAGGGTCCGGGTCTGGGTTCGGATTCGGGTTCATGTTAGGGTTAGGGTCCGGGTCTGGGTTCGGGTTCAGGTTTATGTTAGGGTCTGGATCTGGTCCGGGTCCGGGTTCGGATTTATGTTGGTGTTAGGGTCAGGGTCCACATCCGGGTTCGGGTTCATCCTAGGGTAAGGTTTCTTGTCAGGGTTAGGGTCAGGGTTTGGGTTTGGGTTTGGGTTCATGTTAGGGTTAGGGTCAGGGCCCGGGTCTGGGTTTGCATTCGGGTTCATGTTAGGGTTGGTGTCAGGGTCCAGGTCAGGGTCTGGTCCGAGTTCGGGTTCATGCTAGAGTTAGGGTCCGGGTCCGGGTTCATGTTAGGGTTACGGTTATGGTCAGGGTCCGGGTCGGGTTCATGTTAGGGTTAGGGTCAGTGTCGGTCTGGTCCAGATCCGGGTTTGGGTTCATGTTAGGTTTAGGGTTAGGGTCAGGATCTGCGTTCAGGTTCGGGTTCATGTAAGGTTTAGGGTCAGGGCTATGGTCAAAGTCCAGGTCTGGGTCTGGTCCGAGTTCGAGTTCTGGTTCATGTTAGGGTTAGGGTCATGGTCGGGGTCTGGGTCCAGGTCGGGGTCTGGGTCCAGGTCCGAGTCCGGGTCAAGGTCAGGGTCCGGGTTCATGTTAGGGTCAGAGTCCGCGTCTGGGTTCGGATTCGGGTTCATGTTAGGGTTAGGGTCAGGGTAAGGGTCTGGGTTCAGGTTTGGGTTCATGTTAGGGTTAGGGTCAGGGTCTGGTCCGGGTCCGGGTTTGTGTTTGGGTTCATGTTAGGGTTAGGGTCAGGGTCCGGGTCTGAGTTCGGGTTCGGGTTCATGTTAGGGTTAGGGTCAGGGTCTGGGTCCGGGTCCGGGTCCGGGTTCGGATTTATGTTAGTGTTAGTGTTAGGTTTAGGGTCAGGGTCCACATCCAGTGGGTTCGGGTTCGGGTTCATGTTAGGGTTAGGGTTCGTGTCAGGGTTAGGGTCCGGGTTTGGGTTCATGTTAGGGTTAGGGTCAGGGCCATGGTCAGGGTCCAGGTCCAGGTCTGGTCCAAGTTCGGGTTCGGGTTCATGTTAGGGTTAGGGTCCGGGTCAGGGTCAGGGTCCGGGTTCATGATAGGGTTAGGGTCAGGGTCCGGGTCCGGTTTCGGGTTCATGTTAGGGTCAGGATTAGGGTTAGGGTCACGATCCGGGTGCGGGTCTGGGTCCGGGTTCATGTTAGGCTTACGGTTACGGTTATGGTCAGGGTCTGGGTCAGAGTCCGGGTCCAGGTTCATGTTAGCGTTATGGTCAGGGTCAGATTCTGGGTCTGGTCCGGGTGCGGGTTCAGGTTCATGTTAGTGTTAGGATTAGGATTTGGTTTAGGGTTAGGATCAGGGTCAGGTTCAGGGTCCGCGTCTGGGTTTGGGTTCGGGTTTGGGTTCATGTTAGGGTTAGGGTCAGGGTTAGGGTCGGGCTCCGGGTCCAGGTTCGCTTTCGGGTTCATGTTAGGGTTAGCGTTAGGGTCAGGGCCATGGTCTGGGTCAGGGTCCAGGTCCAGGTCTGGTCCGAGTTTGGGTTCATGTTAGGATTAGGGTCAGGGTCTGGTTCCATGTCTGGTCTGGTTGTGGGTTCGGGTTCCTGTTAGTGCTAGGTTTAGGGTTTGGTTTAGGGTTAGGGTCAGGGTCAAGGTCAGGGTCCGCATCCGGGTTTGGGTTTGGGTTTGGGTTCATATTAGGGTTAGGGTTAGGGTTAGGGTTGAGGTCCGGGTCCGGGTTCGCTTTTGGGTTCATGTTAGCGTTAGGGTTAGGGTCAGGGCCATGGTCAGGGTCCAGGTCTGGGTCTGGTCCGAGTTCGGGTTCATGTTCATGTTCATGTTAGGGTTAGGGTCGAGGTCCGAGTCCAGGTCAAGGTCAGGGTCAGGGTCTGGGTTTATATTAGGGTTAGGGTCAGGGTCCGGGTTTGGTCCGAATTCGGGTTCAGGTTCATGTTAGGGTCAGGGTCAGGCTCGGGGTCCGAGTCCAGGTCAAAGTCAGGGTCAGGGTCTGGGTTTATATTAGGGTTAAGGTCAGGGTCAGGGTCTGGTCCAGGTCCGAGTTCGGGTTCATGTTAGTGTTATGGTCAGGGTCAGGTGCCGGGTCTGGTCCGGGTGCGGGTTCGGGTTCATGTTAGTGTTAGGTTTAGGGATCGGTTTAGTGTTAGGATCAGGGTCCGCGTCCGGGTTTGGGTTTGGGTTCATGTTAGGGTTAGGGTCAGGGTCAGGGTCAGGGTTAGGGTCGTGGTCAGGGTCCGCGTCCGGGTTTGGGTTTGGGTTCATGTTAGGGTTGGGGTCAGGGTTAGGGTTGGGGTCCGGGTCCAGGTTCGCTTTGGGGTTCATGTTAGTGTTAGGGTCAGGGCCATGGTCAGGGTCCGGGTGTGGTCTGGGTGCGGGTTCGGGTTCGGGTTCATGTTAGTGTTAGGTTTAGGGTTTGGGTTGGGGTTAGGGTCAGGGTCAGGGTCCGTGTCCGGGTTTGGGTTTGGGTTCCTGTTAGGGTTAGGGTCCGGGTCCGGGTTCGCTTTCGGGTTCATGTTAGGGTTAGGGTCAGGGCCATGGTCAGGGTCCGGGTGTGGTCTGGGTGCGGGTTCGGGTTCGGGTTCATGTTAGTGTTAGGTTTAGGGTTTGGGTTGGGGTTAGGGTCAGGGTCAGGGTCCGTGTCCGGGTTTGGGTTTGGGTTCCTGTTAGGGTTAGGGTCCGGGTCCGGGTTCGCTTTCGGGTTCATGTTAGGGTTAGGGTCAGGGCCATGGTCAGGGTCCAGGTCTGGGTCTGGTCCGAGTTCGGGTTCAGGTTCATGTTAGGGTTAGGGTCA